ACCTTGGTCTCTTCCTGAGCCTAGAGCCTTCTTTCCCAGCCTCCTCTGACCCCTGGGGCTCCACCTGCCACTTCCCCAGATGCACAGCGAGCCAACTGATGGAGGAAGCACCAGGCCAGAGCACATTTAATTTTAATTTAGGAATCGGTTAAGGCTGCAGGCCTGCTCAGCTCTGGGCTGTCAATCAGCCTTCCTCAAGGCTGCATCAATTAGTTTAAAAATATTGAATGTAATTTTGCCTGACACAACATATTGCAGCTACTGCAAAATATAATTTATTTTAGAAGAAGAAATAATTAAACTAATTTGCATGTCAGTCAGCTGAACTGAGATGGGGGGCGGGGAGGGCTATGGGAGACCCAGCCCCTCGAGGGGGGCACCTGCCACTGGACACTGGGTGAGATCGGTTACACCGGGGTCTGAATAGCTGCCCCTGGACCACAAAGACGGAAGCAGCAGGAAGGATCTGGCATGGTGTCTGGACCACACACTTAGAATCAGGAGACTCGGGACTGCGCCATCCCCGGCTCAGGGGATGTTCCTGCCTTAGTTTCCATATCTACAAAACAGTTTGACAACACCTCCTTCTTGGGTCATTTGGAGGCTCACATGAGGTCATAGATAGGAAAGGATGTTGTAAGTGGGGAAATCTGATAGAGTCCTTGTTTTATGATAGAACCATATAAGGTGGCAGAGGCGGGTTTCACTATTATCACTGACTGTGAATGATACCAACTGTGATGAGGTGGGGCTGGAAGGGACCAATCAGATGCCAGACAGAGGCTGGACTCCCCCACCTGCCACTCACCCTAGGGCGGAGTTTGCAAGCATGGGTACAGGATGAACATCCTTGCCGAATGCCAGCCTTCAGCACTGGTATTAAGCTTCCCAGGTGGGACTGGTGAGGTGGCTCAGTGGTTAAGAGCACTGGCTGCTCTTGCAAGAGGACCTGGGTTGGGTTCTCAGCACCTGCATGGAACTCCAGTTCCAGGAGATCTGATGCCCTCTTCTGACCTCTGCAGTCATTGCATACATGTGGTACACTTATATACATTCAGGCAAAACACATAAAATAAAAATAAATTTAAAAAAATTTTAAGTTTCTCCAGGTGACTCTGGGGAAAAGAAGCACTGCCCAATGTCAAGGGCACAGGGGCCAGTCATGAGTTCTGAGGATTCCAGGCCAGGTCCTATTTCCCTGGGACAAATGCTACAGATAGCAGCTCGGCAACTTGGAGGCACACCTCTGCAGCTGCTCACCTCTTAGATCTGAGACCCTCACTCAGGCCAAAGGACTCGGGGCTCTCCCGGTGGGTGACCCGTGTGACAAGTTGAAACAGAAAGTTGAGGAAGCCCAGGTAAAACCCCTAACAATTGTGTGACCACAGAGGTCCCCCAGTAGTAGAACTTAGGTGGAGGGTGATGGCCACTGAAAAGGCTGACCTGCTCTAAGGTCTCCAGTCCCACCTCTCCCTCTAGCCCACACTCCTACTGCAGAGGCAGGCTGCAAGGGAGGACACTGAGGCCCTGGCCAGCCCCACCCTCCACTGGGAGACAGACACTCTCCTGCCAGATCTTGGCTGTGGGCCTCGCCCTCCCCATTACTCATCCTGCCAAAAGCACCCCATCTGTCTGTGGAAGTTCTCTGGCAACACATTCTTAAAAATAACGGCTCACCCGGCATTCCCAGTCACGACTCCCCTCCCTCGGTCCCAGAAGAGCCCCTCTAATCTCTGAGGTGGAAGATCTGGGTGAGCTGAGGAGATAAGGGGCCCCCAGCTGAGAGGAACTCTAGAGAGGGATTGACAAAGCTAATGAAGGATGTTCCTCCTTCCCTGACCTCCAGAGCTGGCCCACCTGCCTTCCCATTCCACTTTTATCAACTCACCGACAGCTGCAGTCAGCATCTAGCAGCCTCTGAGTTCAGAGGGGGTAGCAGATGATTCACTCCCCCCCAAAACTCATGGGATGCCTAGCTACCTGGGAACTCCCAGGATGTCCCCAAAATAGCTCCCTGCCAACCCAGCTGGAGACCTCTGCCATCCAAGTATCTGCTTGGAAGTGGGGCATCTTGTCTTCTCCAGGGAGATGCGCCTGCAGTCAGTGGCAGGTAGAACAGGTCAATAGTGAGCACAGGGTTAGGATACTGAGAGTGCAGTGTCAAGAGCACGCAGACGCACTCTGGGAGAAGCCCAAAGGACCAGTATTTAGGGCCCTGCTCAGAGAGGCCAGGCTGAGATTGTCATTTCTCAGATGTCTGTTTATTTAGCAGATACCTATATGCCACTGTCTGATGCTGTATACATAATCTCAAGTGCTTTACAGATGTTAACACAATGTGTCTCTTAACCAGGCTGTTCCACAAGTGAGAAAACTGAGGCACAGAGGAGTCAAGTGACTTGGCTCAGATCATACAGCTTCAAAGTGGCAGAGGTGGGCTCAGAACCACCTGGCTCTTAACCACCATGCCTCAGTTTGAGGGTTCAGTTCCCAGCTTTCCCATTCTCTAAATGGTCCCATGTTTTACTTTCTCCTTTGCAAAGTGGGGGCACAAATTGTACCAAGTATTTTAGTTACTTTCTATTGCTGTGATAAAAACACTGACCAAAACCAATGTAGGGAGGAAAAGGTTTATTTGGCTTACAGCATCGTTCATCATCAAGGGAATCCAAGGCAGGAACTCAGGGCAGGAACCTGGAGCACAGACCATGGAGGAACGCTGCTTACTGGCTTGCTCCCCTGGCCTGTGCTCAGCCTGCTTTCTTATACAATACAGGACCACCTGCCCAGGAGTGGCACTGCCCACATCACTCAATAATCAAGAAAATGCCCCACAGACATGGCCACAGGCCAGTCCAATAGAGACAACTCCTCAATTGAGGTTCCCTATACCAAGGTGTGTCAAGTTGACAACTACAGCTATACAGCACACACAGGATCTGCAAGGACAGCTGAACGATGGCCATGGATACCCCAGGAGCTTTGGTGTACTCTAGGTGACAGGATAGAGATAGCAATGGTGATGTGGTGTTGGAGGCAGGAGCTAGTGTGTTGCCGTTAGTGTTTATGATGAAGTAATGCTAGCAATAATGGGGCTGTTCTCAGTTGTGGTGGCGTGGCTATGCTGGAGATGATGCTAATGCAGATGATGATGGAAGTTGGGGTATTGGTAGTGATGACAGAGGGACAGTGGCCATGAGGGCTGTAATAGTGATGGTCTTAGAACTTGGGATGATGGAGCTAAGGGACATGGTGATGGTGCTAATTTTAGTGGGAATGATGATCTATTTGGATGATGGGGACAGTGGTATGGGTGCTACTGGGAGTTACCTGCTAGAGTTCGTGAAGACAAGGCTGATGGTAGTGATGGTGGTAAGTTAATAGCGGTGATGATATAGGAATGGTGGCAGCAGGAAAGGTAGCAATGATGGAGATGTTGGTGCTGCTGTTGCTTATGGTGGTGATGGTGGTGATGGTGATGGTGGTGATGGTGGTGCTCTTGTTCATGCCATAGAGGCTGTGGTGGTGATGCCAATGGGATCGATAGTAGTGGGAGATGGGAATAGGGATGGGAGTGGGGATGGTGGAGGCAGTGATGGAGACGGGGATGGGGATGGTGAAGATGGTGATGATGATGGTGCAGGTGATGGTGCGAATGAGGTGGCAATGGTGGAGATGGAGTGATGATGGTGGAGATGGGCGTGGTGGTGGAAATGGGAGTGATGGTAGAGGTGAAGGTGGAGATGATGGTTGATGGTTGATGGTGGATGGTGGAGATGGGAATGGTGATGGTGGAGGTGAGGGTAGTGATGATGGAGGTGGGGTGGTGATGGAGATGGGGTGGTGGTGGAGAGATGGAGATGGTGGAGAGATGGAGATGGTGGAGATGGGGGTGATGGTGAAGGTGGGGGTAGTGGTGGTGGAGATGGGGTGGTGATATGGAGATAGTGATGTGGAGATGGTGACAGTGATGGTGGAGAAGGGCATGGTGATAGCAGAGGTGGGGGTGGTGATGGTGGAAATGAGTGTGGGGATGGTTGATACAGAGTAGTGATGATGAAAATGGTGGAGATGGGATGATGGTGAAGGTGGGGTGATGGAGATGTGATGGAGATGATGGAGATGGTTGTAGATGGTGATGGTAGAGGTGGGGTAGTGATGATGGAGATGGTGGAGATTGGCATGGTGATGGTGGAGGTGGGGGTAGTGGTGGTGGGGATGGGGTGATGATGTGGAGGTAGTGATGGTGATGGTGGTGCTGCTGTTCGTGTCCTCTGGTTGTGGTGGTGATACCAGTTGGGTCGATGTGAATAGTAGTGGGAGATGGGGATAGAGATGGGAGTGGGGATGGTGGAGGCAGTGATGGAGATGGGGATGGGGATGGTGAAGGTGGTGATGACAATGGTGCAGGTGATGGTGCAGATGAGGTGGCAGTGGTGGAGATGGGGTGATGATGGTGGTGATGGGGTGAGATGGTGCAGAGTGCGGTGATGGTAGAGGTGGGGTAATGATAGAGATGAGGGTGGCAATGTGGAGATGGTGATGGTGATGGTGATGATGGAGACAGGGTGGTGATGGTGGAGATGGTAGAGATGGGGTGGTGATGGTGGAGATGGGGCGGAGATGGTGAAGATGGGGCAGTGAGAGATGTGGAGATGGTGGTAATGGTGGAGATGGGGTGGTGACAGTGGAGATAGGGTGGTGATGTGGAGATGGGATGGTAACATGAAGATGGTGATGGTGATGATGGAGATGGGGTGGTGATGTGGAGATGGTGGTAATGGTGGAGATGGGGTGGTGATGTGGAGATGGGGTGGTAATAGGGGGTAAAGGAATGGGGATGATTGCTCACTTAATCCCAGATGCCCCAAGCCCTGTTCCTTGTACCAGTTTGGATAACCCACAATATCTGTCAGTGTGACCCCATTGCCTAATCTCCCTGGAGTAGGGAGGGGCTGTCTAGTCTCACCCTTGAGGCTCCTCGCCCTTCTCTTCTACAGACAATCATGCTCAGCTATCAAAAGCATCCCTACGGATCCGAATTCTGGATGTGAACGACAATCCCCCAGAGCTGGCCACACCCTACGAGGCAGCTGTGTGTGAGGATGCCAAGCCAGGCCAGGTACCCAGAGGGGCCTGGGGACCAGAGGTGCTGGCAGACCAGAGCCCCTCTATTCCACCTCATTGTATACCCTGCCCCTCCCCACCCTACAGCTCATCCAGACCATTAGTGTTGTGGATAGAGACGAGCCCCAAGGAGGCCATCGCTTCTACTTCCGCCTGGTGCCTGAGGCACCCAGCAACCCTCATTTTTCTCTGCTGGACATCCAAGGTGAGCCACCTGTGAACCACCACCCCCAGGGTGCCTGGGGAGATGGGGTGGTGATGTGGAGAACCTGGGTGTGGGTTGGCAGAGTGAGGCAATGCATCCTAAGGGCAGAGAAAGGCAGTGGAAAGATCTGAGAGGGCATCCAGGGCAGTGCTTGGGCCAGTGTTGGAGAAGATCCCCTGTACCAAAGGAAGGAGGAAGACAGTGTGTGTGCACAGCTCCCCCATCCCCATAGTTCAAATATGACTCCCTTAAGTTCCCCATGGCATTCTCTCAGCCACGGTGGGAGACAGTTTCCCAACCATTTTGGAAGATAAAACTGACACTGGGAGGCAAAAGGCTATAGCCTTTAGTCAGAGGTGGCTAAGCTTCAAGACTATTCCTGTGGGTTCACAGTTCACACTTATACTTGTTGGATTCATACCCACACCTGTGTCTAGCATAGATGCTCCTATCCTCCGTTTCCCACTGCAGAAGCAACCGCCCACCCACCTGAGCCCTTCATGACATTCCTCCAGCCCCAATTTCTCATGATATTGACATTGGAACCTTTGAAGACTGGGCTGAGGGAAGCAGGTGTCAATAGACAGGGGTGAGGACCCCAGATGCCAGTCGAGGCTCATCTGGGCACTCTCTACGACACCCTGGAAAGTGTCTGACCTCCTCTGAGCCTCAGTTTCATTGTCTGGAAAAGGGGGCTGATACACACCACCTCAAGCCAGGTGGCCCAGAGGGAAAAGGGCTATTGAGGTACACTGCCAGACCTTGACCGTGTCATTTCCCACCTTCAGCAACTGTTTACCGAGCATCATTGAGACATAGTTCCTATGTGACAAGTCCTGCTCTGGGCCCTGGAAATTCAATGACAGATGGAACAGAATTTCTACCCTTGTGGAGTTCATATTCTATTGAGACAAGACAAAAATTAAACAAATCAATAATATGTCAGGGATGATGAGTGACCAGGGAGGAAGAAAGAGAAGTCTTCTCAAGAGTCTGGGCCTTACTTTGTTTCAGGCCTCAGGGTGACCAGAGCAACCCTAGCACATTGTAGGTGTTCAATAAAACATATGGCATGAAGCTGAAAAAGAAATCAGGTGCTAAGAAGGAACCAGGTGGCCCGGGAAGGCCTCTCCCAAGTGGTTCACAGTGAGTAGGGAACCTAAAGCAGTGAGGCACCTGGGGAGACAGCTCAGTGGGTAAAGTACTTTCTGTGCAAGCATGAGGACCTAAGTTTGAATCTCCAGCACCCACGTAAAATCTGGGCTGTGTCTATAACCCTCTCACTGGGACGCATAGACAGGAAGATCCTGGGAGTTGGCAGGCTGGCCAGCCTAGCCCAGTTAGTGAGTTCCAGTTAGTGAGTTCCAGGCCAATAAGACCCTGCCTCAAAAAAAAAAAAAAAAAAAAGGGGGGAGAGAAAGGAAGAAACCTGCGGGGGACCTCCGGCCAACAGTACATGAATGGGCGCTTACATAGTTCCAGGACAGCTGGGGCTACAGGAAGACCCTGTGTCAAAAAGACCCCAAAAAAAAAAAAAAAAAAAAAAGGTGGAGAGTGACAGAGGAAGACACCTGGTGTTGACCTCTGGCCACAAGTACATGCATGGTCAAGTACACCTGCACATACATGTGCACACATATGTATACACCACACACACATACACAAATAAATAAAAACTAAGAGCAGTAAGTGAGTTTTGCAGATAACGGGCCTGAAAACCATCTGGTGGAGGAAGCAGCATGTTTCAAACAAGTAGAAAGCAGAGCTGGGAGGAGATCAAGCCAGGAGGCACTGAGGACCTTATTAGGCAACGTGGGTTCCCTCTGGTCCTGGAACAGATCTGGGATTCGCCCCCCCCCCAAGAATTTTATACCCTTTCTCCCAAAGGGAGAAGCCTTAAGGCCTCTGAAGTCAGAACCATCTGTATTCCTAGGAGCCATATTAGAAATCTTTAAGAACCAGTCCTTCAGGTCACATAACTAATGGGAAAGGATGCTGACCACAGGCTAGAGCAGGATCCTGGAGCCCCTGCTGTGACTGGCATTAGCCCTCCATTGAGGACAGGGATATGCCTTAGAGAAAAACTAAAGCTATAGGAAGGGCCTGGGGCTCAGAGCCATGACTGTTTACATCTTTTTGGAAATAATTCAACAACCAGTACAATCCAGCCCATACATCCCTCCCTCAGTATCCTGAGCTGGTACCCAGAGACATAGTCAGCCCTGGACCCACCTCTCCAAGTTAACAAATCTTCCCAGCCCCAGGGCCTGAAGTCCCACCCCTGATGCTTTTCCTAGTTTAGGGCTCTCCAGAGCTCTCTTCTGGAGCAGTCACCTAGGATAATATTTGGGGACAGGGTGGCGTTAGCCTGCTGAGGTCAGAGCATCCATGGAAGGTCTCCTCCAGTCCTTCAGCCCCTTCCTGCAGTATGCCAAACCCCCACCTCCTCACCATATAAATATCTTAGGTGACAAGTGGCTACCCCAACCCATCTGTTTCTTTGTACAAATGTGTAGCCAGTTTGGAAATGTGATTTATAAATATTGCTTTTGCAGCCAGGGATTGATGCTGATGGATGTCAGGCCAGATGGATGGATGCAGCACTGGGCATGGGTCCTGCCTAGAAATGTGGGGTGGGCCTGGGGTAGTCAGTGACTTCCCAGAGGAAGGCAGCTAAACTCGGTCAGGGATGATGCCCAGGGAATCCCCTTCCACAGGGGAGAGGTATCGCAGAACCCTGAGTACTCAGAACATCTGGCTGTATATTCACAGACAACATCCCTGAAACAGCATCTCTGTCTTGCTTGGCAATTGGAGGCTGGGCCAGGGCCAGCCGCTCATTTCTCAAATCTGTCTGCTTCTCTCTGCTGCCACTACTGCTATTGTCTCACACAAAACACACCAACACTTCCGACCTGTCGTCCATGTCAATGCTCATATTTTCTGTTATAAGCTTCCTCCGCTACCAAGCAGGCTCACACCAGGATGCCAACTATGTCTGTCTTATTCACAGCCATGTCCCCAGGGGCTAGAATAATCCTGACATATAGAGAGTGCTCAGTTCAGATTTGCTGAGGAATGAATGGCTATGTCACTGGGTCACTTCTTGGTTTAAACCCCACAAATCAATAGCCTCCTGTTACGTTTAAGAAAATAACCCAAGTTCCTTACAGAAGTTAGCCTGATAAACTTTCCAGGATGGGCTTCCACCTCCCTCTAGCCTCGACTGGACTCAGTCTAGCTAGTGTTCCCATCTTCTCTCCAGCCATAGGGCTACCCTCCACCTCAAGACCATCACATGGGCTCCTCCTGCCCTGAATTCATCCATCCAGGATGAATGTTACTTGGGAGTAGATCACTTCTCCCAAGAAACTCTCCCTGACCTCCCAGGCAGGGTTGGGTCCTGTCCCTGCTCATCCTGCACTTGTTCTTCCCAGCACTCTCAGTGGCCTGTAATTGTAGACAAAGCTGTGCATTTGTTTAGTTAGCGTTTGTCTCTCGTGTCAGAATCTGAGCTCTGATCCAGGCGACAGCTGATTTCACTCTCCATTGTTTCCCTTCAGTGACCAGCATGCCGCCTAGCACACAGCAGTTAATTAAGTTGTTGGAAGGAGGGGAAGGAAAGAAAGAAGAAGGGAAAAGGAGAGGGAAAGAAAGAGGAAGGGAAAGAGGAGTGGGGAAAGGGAGGGAGAGAAGGAAATGGGTAGATGGATGGAAATGCGAGGGCAAATGGATGAATGAGTGGATGGTTGATGGGTGCTAGAAAGAGGATGGATGGATGGATGGATGATGGATGGATGATGGATGGATAGATGGATGGATGGATGGATGGATGGGGGGGTGGATGGATGACGGATGGATGGATAGATGAATGGATGGATGGATGGATGATGGATGGATGATGGATGGATAGATGGATGGATGGATGGATGGATGGATGGGGGGGTGGATGGATGACGGATGGATGGATAGATGAATGGATGGATGGATGGATGATGGATGGGTGGATGGATGATCGATGGATGATGGATGGATGGTAGCTGGATGGATAGATGAATGGATGAATGATGAATGGATGATGGATGGATGGATGGATAGATGATGGATGGATGGATGATGAATGGATGATGACTGGATGGATTATAGATGAATGGATGAATGATGAATGATGGATGAATGGATGAATGATGAATGATGGATGAATGGATGAGTGATGAATGATGGATGAATGGATATATGATGAATGATGGATGAATGCATGGGTAGAGAATACATGAGTAGGTAAATGGATGATAAGGAATAGATGGAAGAGAAGATATATAGATGAATGACGTTTGGGTAGATGAGTGTTGAGGATGGATAGATGATGGATGAATGGATGGGTGGATGATAGAAGGTACATGTGTGTATGAAGGCTAGAGAATGGATGGCTAGATGGATCTATGGATGGATGGATGGCTGGATGGATGGATGGATGGATGGATGGATAAATAGAGGATAGATGGATGAATGGATCAATGTATGAGTGATGGAGAGTGGATAGATGAATGGATGAGGGAGGATGGACAGATAAATGAATGGATGGAGGATGGATGGATGATGAATGGATGATGGATGGATGATGGATGAATGGATGGATGGACGGACAGATGGATAGCAAATGATAGAGGAACAGATCACTTCTCTTTTAAAAAAAGTTAATTACATTTATTTATTTGTTTTGTGTCTGGGGTTGGGGAAACAGGCCACAGAGCACATATGGAAGTCAGGACAGCTTGTGGGAGTCAGTTCCCTTCTTCACCCTGTGAGCCCCAGGAATCAAACTCAGGTCACCAGGCTTGGTGTGAGCACCTTTTCCTGCTGAGCCATCTCACCAGTCCCAAAAGTCACTTCTTGCTGAGCCTTGTTTGCCACGTGTATAAAGTGAGATCCTGCTGGTTGTGAGCATTAAACATGGCTGTGGGTTCAGTGCCCACATAATCTGATTTGTAAGAAGTATCCAGTCACTGCTGATGTGCCTACCCCTTTCCCTCTTTTCTCCTCTGCCCTTGAGCCTCCTTTGTTCGCTGGCAGGAGGTAGCCTTTTCTCAAGCAGGGCTGCTTCGACCTTTAATGGGAGACTCCAGAGGCCAACTCAGAGCTTGAGGCATTGACCCATGGCTGCCAGTTATCCCAAGAGTTGTGGTTCCTTCAAGAGTTGCTCCTAGAGACTGGCATAGGGCCTGGCCCCAGTTGGCCAGTAATGGAGAAACAGTGCACAGTTGCCTCACACAAGGTGACAAGTGCTGTAACAGTACTATACATGGTGTCTGCATCATCAGAGCAGGGAGGGAGAGCCATAAATCCTTCCTTCCCAGGGAAGCAGAGAAAGGAGGCCACAGAGAGGAGGTGACATCTAGCTGGAGCATGACGGATGAGGAATTTGCCCAGGCAGGAAGGTGGAGAGGGTGTCCCACATAGCGGGGACTTGGAGAAGAAAGGCGGGGACATCAAAACAGGGAGCAGGTATGGGGTGAGGCATGCAGGCAAACTATTAACCAGCATTTATGGGGAATCGCTATGCGCTGGGAATAATTCTATTTCATTCTCATTCCTGGGTAAGCCCCTGGTTCTGTTTACTGATGAAGAAACTGAGGTCCAAAGGAGCTAGTCCACGATGCACACAGTGCTGTTAACATTTGCATGGAAATGTTCAAATGTGGGTAAAAGCAGGTGGAATAACACACTGAGCCCTTGTAGGCCATCTTGTCTCATCTGGGCCTCCAGTCCACTTCCTCTGCATGCCCAAAGTCACATGCCCAAGGTCAGTCTTTCCAAGGGCCATTTCCCCTGTTTGTATGTACAGTGAGGAAGGCCAGACCTGGGGAGACTATTGATAAGGGGCTTCAGGGAGAGGCTCAATCCTGGGCTCAGATTTCCTTCCTAAATAGAACAGTTTCCCTTTCCATATAAAGGTAGATTGCCCTGAGTGACCTGGGGCCCCCAAAGCTGAGGAAGGAATCTGGGATGCCAAGGTCTTGGATCAGAGCTCACATGACGGCAAGGGTAGGGAGAACTGGGCCCAGCAGGCAAGCATCAGGTCTGCTGCAAAGGATGGGGCAGCAACCCCACTGTAGAACCAAGAGCACCCCCAGAACACAAAGGTGTCAGTATGGCCTGGCATGTGGGACAGACACAGAAGAGGCAGGAAGTAGGTGCCACCTGTCACTGAGCCTTGCTGTAACACCAGCCACTCCTTCCAGAATCCTACCTGGTCTGCAACAGCAGGTCAAGGCCAGACAATGGGCACTATTATGTAGCTCACCGTCCTTCCCAGCCACCCATGTAAAAAGGAAAGACCTGGATAGGAAGAGTCTCATGTTCTTGGGTTCCCTCATCTACCCAGAGACTACATCCCCACCCTGCAGGCTCAGCCTCTTAATGAGAGACCCCTAAGCCAGCTCCAGGACTTCTGAGTAGCACAAAGGACAGGAAGTTTCCTCAGCTACAGCCACATGCTAACCAGCATTCCTAGCCACCTCTGATGACCCTGGACTTGTCAAAGCCCAGCAAACCACAGCCCAAGGACCACTGGACTCCTAGAGATAGGGTGCATTGGGAAACAGGAATGTAGTCCAGAACAAAGCTGGCTATTGCGATCAATGGGGAAAAAAAATTTGATATAGCAAAGGCCAGGACCTTGGCCCAGCTGGAGACAGAATCTTGGATTAGCTGGGGATAGTACCTTGGCACAGCTGGAGTGAAATCTTAGAATTTCTGAAAACAGCTTAAGACATCTGGGGACAGACTCGTGGGACAGCTGAGGACAATCGTAGGCTCTGGGAGTGAGAAAAGATTTTGGGCAGCTGTGGCAGAAATTGAGGTTTGGCGGGGGAAACAGACCTGTGGACCCTTGGGGAGGTAGCACTTTGGGGCATAGAGAGGCAAATCTCAAGATAAATCAGGGCATGGCTGGGATGGGGGCTGACCCCAGCCCTGTGTCACAGGCTGCTCACTTCTCCCAAGCAGACAACACGGCCGCAGTACACACACAGCATGTGGGCTTCAACCGACAGGAGCAGGATGTGTTCCTCCTGCCCATCCTCGTCGTGGACAGTGGGCCACCCACACTGAGCAGCACCGGCACACTCACCATCCGCATCTGTGGCTGTGACAGCTCCGGCGCCATCCAGTCCTGCAACACCACCGCCTTTGTTATGGCTGCCTCCCTTAGCCCCGGAGCGCTCATTGCTCTCTTGGTCTGTGTCCTCATCCTGGTCGGTGAGTCCAAGAGCTGCCCACTCCTCCTAGGCTTGGGTATCCTTCCTAGCCACACCACACCTAGGGGGCCTCAGTTTCTCCAGTTCCTGTGGGTAGTCTCAGAAATCTCATGAAATTCTTGTGAGGCCCCATACACAGCCCAAGATTCTTCCCAGCGCTTAAAATCAAACATACTGCTGTCCAGGGATTCATACCTGTAATCCCAGCACTTGGAAAGCCGAGGCAAGAGGGTTGCCACAAGTTAGAGGTCAGCCTGGGCTATATAAAAGTTTTAGACCAGCCTGGATTACAGAGTGAGACCCTGTCTCCAAAAAAATCAAACTGGGTCTGGGGGTGTGGCTCAGTTAGTAGAGAACTTGCCCAGCATATACAAAGCTTGATCCCCAGCACTGCATAAGCCAGGTGTGGTAGTGCAGGGCTACCTGGGAGGTAGAGGCAGGAAAATCAGAAGTTAAAGGTCATCCTGGGCTATATAGGAAGTTCGAGGCCAGCCTGAGCTACATTGGACCTTGCCTCAAAGCAAGAAAAGAAAAACAAAGCCAAGCATATTTTTCAAAGTTTCTAATATTTGTTGTCCTTTTCATTCTCCATAAAGAGAAATATGACTGCATGGCCAGGTATATCAACCCATGTTTCAGATGAGGAAACTGAGGTTCGGAGAGGCTTATATAAAATGACATGGTAGTCTTATATTTAAATGACTTATATAAAGTGGCATGGTAGTCTTCTGACTTGACCTTAGATCTTTACCCTGTGTCTCTGCCTCCTCTAACTCCACCACTTGTTATGAATTAAAACTGGGAGCAAAACCTTAGAGAACCTGGGACAAAGTCTTAATATACTAGAGGATCTACACTGGTACCAGTAGCCACTTGACCCCTAGTGTCTCCAGTGAGAAGGTCAAGCTTCAGGAGCTAAAGAAGATGCAAACACTCTATGGCTCCTATCACAGCCATAGCCACCCAAGTACAGACCAGCATCAACCCCCAGCACTGCAGTTGGGCTGACAGCACAGCCTGGACTTCTCCAGAAACTGCACATTCCAGCTCTGCTCAGTCCCCTGGGAGATGACAGCTGTCTCTCCTCCATGTTGCCCATCCTCCAGGGACCTGCAGAGCCTTTGTACAGGCCCCACCTTGCTGGGAGCCCAGCCTCCTCCTCCCTCCCCACCCCAGCCCATGGCTCAGAAACCCTTTTTCCAGAGGGTGCACTTTACAGCGGTTTCATTTTCCGAGGCAGTGCAAACAAATTTCTGCCTAATTGCCCACAAACGAAGAAAGTGCTCATCAGTGCTCTAAAGGTGACGGGCGGAATCACTGATCAAGCCTGGCACATCTGTTGCCCGCCACCCGCAGTCCCCACCATCTGCTCTCCAGGGCATCCCCCTCCACAGCTTCAGGCCGCCGGCTCCGAAAGCTGTCCATCCATCTTCACCACTTCTCTCTCGACACCTTCCTTCCCTCCAGCCCTCCCTCGAGGCCTGGCCCTGGCCCCTATCCCCTTTCCTGTTGTAAGCTTCCTTGTTAGGTGGTAAGTCTGGACTATTCCCACACTTGGGTTCATTGACAATTTCATACATGTATATATCTTGATCATATCTACCCACACTCCTCCAGATCCCCCCCACATGTCCCTCTTACATGGTTGTTTTGTGGCCTCTCTCTCTCTCTCTCTCTCTCTCTCTCTCTCTCTCTCTCTCTCTCTCCCCCTCTGTGTCCCACTAGTACTGCCTACATGTGCATGAGTGCTGGGCCATCCACTGGCTTGGGCTGACCTATCAGTGCCCACACCCTTGAAATAAAATGACTCTCCCCCAGCAGCTAATAGCTCTTTAGCTAGGGATGGGCCTTATAGACTCCTCCCCACCCCCCCCCACTGGAATGTTGTCGGCTTGATCTTTTGCAGGTCTTGTACAGATAACCACAGCTGTTGTTAGTTCCTTAACGGTAACAGCCATGTTGCATCCAGCGGACAGCATTTCACAGCTCTCTTCCCCATCCTCCCACTCTTATATTCTTTCCACCCCTTCTTTCACAATGTTCCCTGGGAGAGGGGATTGATAGAGATGTCCCATTTAGGACTGACTCAACAGTCATTTATTCTCTGCACTTTGACCAGCTATGAGTCTTTGTATTAACCACTGTCCACTGCAAAAAGAACCTTCTCTGACCAAGGTTTGAGAGCTGCACTAACCTGTGGGTATCAACATAATATTCTTTCCACCCCTTCTTTCACAATGTTCCCTGGGAGAGGGGATTGATAGAGATGTCCCATTTAGGACTGACTCAACAGTCATTTATTCTCTGCACTTTGACCAGCTATGAGTCTTTGTATTAACCACTGTCCACTGCAAAAAGAACCTTCTCTGACCAAGGTTTGAGAGCTGCACTAACCTGTGGGTATCAACATAAATATTT